ACATCCTCGGACCCCATCTCACCCTTGCCGCTGGTTGCAGCACTTATGTCCTTTACGCCGGTTCCTTCCTCTACTACAACCATCATAAACACCAGGCTTTTGCAATTGCTGCTGGTGGCCTTCTCGGCATTGGCGCTGGCCTTCTTTGGGCTGCTGAAGGCGCTATTATGACTTCTTACCCTCCACCAAATCGGAAGGGCACTTATATCTCCCTGTTTTGGAGCATTTTCAACATGGGTGGAGTTGTTGGTGGACTTATTCCTTTTATTCTAAATTACCACAGAAACGAGGCAGCATCTGTAAATGATGCCACTTATATTGGCTTCATGTGTTTCATGTCAGCAGGGACCCTTCTTTCCTTTGCCATTTTGCCACCCGACCGTGTTGTCCGTGATGACGGTACACGATGCACCAATGTTAAGTACTCCAGTGTCTCCACAGAGGCAGCCGAGGTTCTCAAATTGTTTTTTAATTGGAAAATGCTCCTTATTGTCCCTGCTGCTTGGGCGAGCAATTTCTTCTACAGCTATCAGTTCAATAATGTCAATGGTCTTCTTTTTAATCTGAGGACTAGAGGCTTAAACAATGTGTTTTATTGGGGGGCACAAATGCTAGGCTCTATTGGCATTGGTTACTTCTTGGATTTTAGTTTCCAGAGTAGGAGGATGAGGGGTTTTGTTGGGATTGGTGTTGTTGCTTTGCTTGGCAGTGCAATTTGGGGTGGTGGTCTCGCCAATCAACTTCCTTACTCCCATGATCGTCCACCTACCAAGTTGGATTTCAAGGAGTCTGCTTTTGCTGGCCCTTTTGTTTTGTACTTCAGCTATGGATTGCTGGATGCCATGTTTCAAAGCATGGTTTACTGGGTCATAGGAGCCTTGGCTGATGATTCACAGACCCTTAGCAGGTTATGCCTTTTCCTTCTTGTATGTCTTTTTGATCTTCATCCTTTTGTTTTTGGATAAATTGACCAATATTGATGTTTACAAAATATTTCAGGTATAGTGGATTTTATAAGGGAGTGCAAAGCGCAGGAGCAGCGGTTGCTTGGCAAGTGGATTCGCACAAGGTTCCACTGCTTTCCCAGTTGATTGTCAATTGGTTACTCACCACTGTAAGTTATCCATTGCTGGTGCTTCTAGTCATGCTAGCTGTAAAGGATGACAACAAAACTGAAGATAAAACTGTGAAGGAAGCTACTGTTGCGTCTTCTGATAAAGACATCACCACTGCTTAAGTCCACTTAGCTGTTATTTATTCTGTTGTCTTTTCCCCCACATTCTTGCCAAAGTGGATCTTTTTCTTTACAAGTTTAGACAACTGTTATGATGTATGTGTTACTACGCCATTGTTATCTCCATTAAAAGGAAATCGAAGTTAAATGCTTTTGTGCAGAGCTTTCTTCACTCATAGAATTCTTGTATCTTGGTTAACCCTGCTTACGCTCTTCTTGCCCTTTCTTAATTACAATCTATGAAGATAACCACTGGTTTCTATTTTTCAGCCATGACGTACAGTATGCCTTTTCAGTTGATACAAGATAATATGTCGCTTGATCATGTATGGAATACCCCCAAAGCTCTGAAAAACCTTTGCTCTGACAATAGTATAAAAGAATAAATAAATCTAGGAAAAGGTTGAATACTGTATTGCTTTTTTTTCTTTTTTTTATAAGTAACACTATATTGTTGATTGCTACTTTTCATTATGATGGTGAAAAACGAACTACTAGAGCAGTTTTCTTTTCTATGCAATTCTATCTGAATGAGAAGATAACAATGACTATTCAGTGACACTAACGCCTTGGCACCAGCAGAAGTTAGATGATGAGGTTCTAATGTTATGTTGCACTTTTGCTGCTCCAAGTTTTCTGTGATACTGCATCATCTGATTTAGCTGTTGTTTCCATAGAAACAGTTTGCACAAGTTCTAACTTTTCCCTCCTAAAGAAAATCACTGACTGACATCCGATTTCTAGGCCGGTTGTATTTTGTCATGATATCTTTGTGGCAATATATTTATAAACTACTCAGTCTGCAATCATGATGTGCGTGGGTCTTTCTGTCCATAGATAACACTTTGCTAAGTATATTGAGCTATTAAACTGATTTGTTAACAGGCAATCATGGTTCTTGCTTTGTAATTTACATTCTATGTTAAAACAGAAATTTGTCTTCGAGACAGAGCATTGATGCTGTTGGTTTTGAACTGTGATGCCTGATCAATAAGGTTTTCTTTTAGCATTCTTGCTTAGGACTAAATTTTACACGGTTATTTTTCAGCCTAAAGAAAATCTACATAGTAGCTTCTATCTGTCACAGATTCAGGCTCCATTTGGACGAGCGTTGAGATTGAAAACAATAATAAAAATTTACTGTAGCAGCTATTAAAAAATTACTGTAGCTGAGAATGAAAAAAAATTTAATGAGAAATTTATGCTAATTTGACCTCATTAGGGTTGACGTTTGGATTCAACTGGAGGTACGGTGAGCTTAATCACCGGTGCGTGGGATCCAAATGGCTACTCAGAGTTCTTTTGTGGTACAGGTCTTTTTCTTCTCTGTTCTGTTTTGGATAAAATAATACTCAATGGTAATAGTTTAACAGTGTTAATCGTCAAAGAATACAGACATAGTTTATAGTTTAGTGTGCAGCAGATATGGAAAGTGGGAAACTTATGATCCTTGAAAAGCTGTTTTCTTATTGGCTTTTAATGCTTAGACACAGGTAGGCAGATTTTGGTAACATAGCAAAAACATGCATATTTTAGCAGCAAAATTTACAACCTAACCTGCTGAATCACATTTGTTTCATAGAACTTTGTTTATTTTGTGTATTTTCACATATCTTCTTCAATGAATTACAAGTTTTGCTCCATCAGGTTGTTGCTATACTCTCTTTTCTGAATCTTGTAAAGTTCTGTAAGGCTGTTGAGTGTGTTAATTGCAAAATCATTTGTAACCATTCAATATCTTGAATCATACCATGTGGGTTTTGAAGTTGTTCTACTTTGTTTAATGGCTTGCAATGGCATTTGCTAAGGTGGCTCTTTTTGCTTTCCTGCTTTAAACTTCATTTCATATATCAATATCTTCCTGGAGAATTTATCAAGAGCCTTGCATAGAAAATTTTATTGTACAAATGTAACAATGATGGATTTTGTTTTCTGGCTGTATCTGCAGTTTGATTGGCTTTTTACTTGTGCTTGGATTGTTTTGTCCAGTAAAATCCAACTCTTTTTTTATTAAGCGATAAGGGGTTTTTGAGCTTTGCCAAATATATCCCCTTCTCGAGCCGATGTAAACAGGTTTATCTACACCTGACCTAGCTAATTCATGGGGAAGTTAGCTTCCCATAGCTTTCTAACAGATTTGAACCTAAAAGCAGAGAACGAAGCACACTCTCTTTACCACTTGAGCCATCCATTGGGTAACTTTAAAATCTTATTTAAATGTAGCTCAGAAGCTCTTATTTAAATGGTACTGATTTGGTTTCTGGTGTCTTCAAACATATTTATATTTGATTCTTGCTTCTTCAATCCTTACCATGTAGGCTTGTGCAACTACGCCAATTAGGCCTTGCTCCAAAGTTCAGATCATGAGTCAAATTGTTTTTTGTTTCCTCAAATGTTGTCTGTCTCTCTGTTTCCTGCCACGCCCAGTTTAAAGTCTTCCTTCTTTTAAGGCTTATAAAGCTTGGATATACAATTTTACTTTCTTCTTGGGGCCAGTGTTCTTACTAAACTAATAACAATGGGCTTAACATTTTTTTGTACCCAAATTCATTTAAACTATTTAATTCCCTTAAGCTCATTATTAATGATTAAGTGTATTAGGTTTTTATAAGATAAATATAAATATTAAATATCAGGTTTCCACATAATAAATAAATATTTTATATTTTTTTTAATAAATCAATTTAAATAAAATAAGAATATGAAAAGTTATCATATTAATTTCAAATATATGTTGGTAATATTAATATTTTTATTAAATTAATATTAATAAAAAATAAAAGATGAAAAGTTATGTAAAGTTAAATGTATACACAATAATACAAATATTAGTTTATCAATTAAGCATTTAAAAATATAAATTATTAAAAGATTTATTATATTAATTGTAATATTTGCAAGTATTAATTTTTTTAAAATAGTATTAATAAAAAAAAATACAAAAAGTTAGTATATGAATTTTAATGTTTTCATATTCTATCAATTAATAGTTTGCAAATAAATATTTAATATATATATATACCAAAATTTCAGACTTTTTATATTTTCTACTGTTGAATTTAATTAAAATGGTAGGAAAAAGTCCATTAGATATTATCATATTGATTTCAATTTTTTATATTTAATTTATTTTGAAAAACTTTCCATATTCTAATAACCATTGAATTTAAGTAAAATGATCAAGATAAAAAACGATATAAAGTGTTATTGTACTAATTTTAATATTTTAATATTCTATTAATTAATTTTTTGGAAATAAATATTTTTATATTCAATTTATTTTAAAAAAATTTATATTCTATAACTATTGAATTTAAGTAAAATTAGGAACATGACCTTAGGATTTAAGGGTTACAAGTGTTCATAGGTTGTGTCGAGTTAAGTTCAAACTGAATCTATATTTGATATTAATGATTTATACGTTTGTTTATATTTAGCTTGACTTGATAATTCGAACCTCAAAATTCTTTCAAAGTTAGCCCAATTTAAAAAAATAAATCTCAAACCTATCCATTCAACCTAGTTTATATAATAAAAAAAACTTTTTTCAAAAAATAAAAAAATAAAAATTATCATATATATTTATATAATTATAATATTTTAATTATATATATTTGATTCGAGTTGAGTCAAGTTGGGTTCAAACTTTAATTTTTTTTGTTTAAAATCTAATATAAAATTTAAATAGATCTAAAAATTATACTTAAACTCATTTAACAGATTTTAATTTTATGTCCACATCTTCTCAAAATTTGGATGAACTTTTTAGGTTTGAACAAATAATACAACCCGTAAACAAGTCTAGCGATGAGTATTCTTGTTTTCAAATTGTTTTGATTAAACTGAATTTACAATTGATTATTTTCTATTAATTTAGTTTCTTTTCATTGTTTTATGCTTAGGAGTCTTTTAATGTTTTTCTTAAACATATGATAATCGAGTCTTATGCTATATAATGGGAAGTAGCTCTTTATCATTCTATAGTCATACCTTTAACGTACTAAAACTTGAACTTAAGAGTTTAAATAGTGAATAATGTCCCTTTAGAAATGTTTTGTTTGACACTAATAAGCTAAGTATTCTCGATTATGACAAAACAATTTTTAATAATTTCATTAGTTAAAGTAAAGGACTCCAATACAAGCTTCAAATTCAAACCTTTTTGGCATTTGGGGCATGGACTTACGGAATGAAAAATAGTTCCTTTTTTTTTTTTTTGTGTAGTTTATCTTTGGTCTTCACATAGAAATGGTAATGTGTATCTTATATATAATAAGATATCTGTATTATCCAATTCCGTTAAATAGGGTTAGGGAACTGTATAATCGGGTTTACGTAAGGTTTGCTTAGTAAAAAAATACTATCCATCATGTGTTAGGGTAACTTCGGTCCTGTATTTTGAAGATAGGAATTCATTTACGTTAATATAAACTTTATATATTTTTTTAATTCTTGGATCAAAATAATATTTTTAATTTTTATCAATTTTATCCAAAGATTAAAAAAAAAAAGTGTAAAATTTACACTAGTACAAGTGGATCAGTTTTATATTTTAATATAAAATTTTATTTTTTATTTTTTCTTATAAATTACTAATAATTAATCTAATACATACTAAATATTTGAAAATTTTCATTATCATTAGTTGATCAAACACACCTAATAAAAAACTACACGACAATTAACTTTTAGTTGCAAGTAAATTTCATATCATAAATTCAATACATCAAAATTTTCAGAATTTGTGAAAAAAAAAAGTAAAATTCAGTACTTGGGATGTGTTTCATAATCATTAAAAAAAATTTAAAATTATTGAAAATTTAAAATTTTAATGATCTTATGTTTTTATGTGTTTGATAAATCATTTTAGAAATCATTTAATGGCAAATTTTTAATGAAAAAAATGTTGAAAATTCTAATTAACTTTTTGTTAAATAATGTATTAAGTAAATTTTATTTAAGAAGAAAAATTATCTAATCGAATTAATTTTATATTCTTTATGTTTTAACAATTTATTCTTTCCTGTTTAACTTTTATCAATTAAAAATAATTATAAAATCATATCTCTATTTTATTTGAGATTAATAAAAGTTCTATTAACATTTAATTTTCAATAGTATATCAGACAACTTTTATATTATAAATTTAATACTTAAATTTTTTAGAACTAAAAATTCAATATTTAATTTTTAGTGTTGAATTTGTTCAATTTATCAAAAAGCATCCTAATTTTATGAGTAAATTTCGTTTAAATCTTTCAATTTTGAGAATAATTCAACACAATTATATTAGTTCACCCCAAATATCTTTAGCTCTGTTAATAGAATTTAAGCATATAAAAACCTGCTCCTCAAACCTAAATTTATTGCATATATATTATTATTTATTCTATATATCTATCGAATATGCAATAATAAAATTATTTGTATTTAAATATTGTAACTCTTGAGCTTGAGTTTACTTATTATAATTGACTGTAAAGTTAAAATGAATAAGTTTTTTATCATATATTTCACAAATTTGTGGATTTAAATTTAATATATATACAAATATTATAATAATTAAAATTAAATTAACAAATATTCAATTGTGATTTTTTTTCTTTTTAATCAAACATTTCTTTTTCATATTATATCCTTTATGATTCTTTTTTTTTTAAAAAATTATTATATGCCAAAATAATACTATGTGCTTAATATATTCATTTAGTTGTACACATATTTACAATTTAGCTTATAAGTTTTCCTTTTATATGTTATATTTAATTTTTTTTGTTATTAATAGATTTTTATATTTTGAGAAGAATAAAAATAAATTGTTATTATAAAATATTATTTTATGTGATTATTTGAGAATATTAATTTTTTTTTTTAAAAAAAAGATCTTTAAATGAGGTTTTATCGAAATAATTAATGGATAATCAACAAAAAAATCTACTTGTTTTATGAAATTAAAAAATTTGGATCGAGTTGTTTATTTTTTAAATTAATAAATTTATGTTAAATTATATTTAAAAAGTGAAGGATCGGATAAAATTTACCTTAATTTTATTTTTACAGCATTGGCACCGATGAACAAGAATCTAATTAGATGGTTACATTTTTAAAATCATGTTGGTGGAGAAAGGACAATCATCTGATGCCAAGGCCAGGCATCTTGGAAACACTTAGACAAATTCAAAATCATGGATCGTAATGCAATGTCTTATCCATCTATCTGTCTGTGAAGTATTCCCAAAAGTATAAATTGGAATTTCTTTGAAACAATAGATTTGCATTTGAAATGTATAAAAAGTAAGAGATAGAACTTTTAAGAACTTGAAATTTTTATTATGTTTAAATTCAAGGACTTGCTACATCTCAATTTATATAGGGGTAGACTTAAAATAAAATCGTAATTTAGATTCTTTGTCGATTCAGCTTTGATTCCTATTTGATCATTTTTAATTGAAAATATTTTGACAAATAAATCGAAACTTTTAAGAACTTAATTTAGTAAAGGATAATATCATATAATTTTTTTTTATATATAAATGTTTATGGGTTGGGTTGAATTTGAATGGATCCATTTAGGTCAAACTTCATTAGCACCTAAAAAATTTAAGTTTAGACTTGAGCTTTATTTGACTGATTTATTTATTTTTGGCGTTATCAAAATATTTAAAAATATTTTTGAATATATTTCATAACTAAAATTAATTAAAAATATTATCAATATAATAATATTTCCTGATTGTACTGGGGCTTAAAAATTTTGTCCACGACTTTGGCCGTCGACAAGCGTGCCTGTCAAGGAAACCAACTTGTGGATCGCACTATTTTCAAGTAAATATGTTCATAAATCGAGTAAGGTTCGGACGCGTCTATCGAACGTTTTTTTTTTATTTTTTTTTATTTTTAAAGTTAAGCATGAGCTTATTCTCAATAATAAATAGTGTTTTATATTAACATTTTAATAATATAAGATATAGTTTTAAATTAGAACTAATAAAAATTAAAAACTTTTAATAAATAATTTAATCGAGATCAGTCAAATTCGATAATAGGGGCTGAGCCGCCACGCTGCGCCGGTAGCCTTATCAAGATTCATGAATCATGACCAAGCGACTGAAAATGAAATGTTCCCCATCACATCACATCTTAAGATTACAATAATAATGTGTGGGACCTGCAGACTTTTGGCGCGTGGAATTTGTTGTTGTGAATTGAAACTGAGGTAAGACATGGCGTCATACAAACGCACCCCTTTGACCTTCATGACTAGTCAGTCGAGATTTTTGGGTGTAAGCCCACGCGTTTGGACTCCTTAAAATGGAGGATGCATGTTATATGCACGTGAATATCGTTTTTCTTTATTTTTGTAAGATTTTGTAAGGATGGCAATTGCTGGTAAGGTTCTTTAATTTCGAAATATTTATACTTGAATTTAATTATTTATGATTTTTAAATTGAATAATTATTCAAATATTTTTAATTTTTATTTGAATTCTATAATTAAAATATATTTATTAATTATCCAAATTCGTTAAATATTGATTTATTAAGTTAAAATTTGATATTAAACTTAACTTTAATAATTTTAATGCATATTATTATTAAAAAATTAAAAAATTAAAGTTAACATAAAAAATAAATTAAATTTAAAATATTTAATGAATTAATTTAATTAATTATTATATTAATAATTTAAAAATAAAAATATAATATTAAAAAAATTATTTAAAATCGAATTTGAATAGTAAATACCTTAAAATCATTATTCAAACTTCTATCTGATTCTGTGATGAGTAATAATTTTACTATTATAACTCATTTATAAAATATCTTAATTCTACTTAATTGTGTCAGATAGTACAGAATACCCATATATAAAATACCCATTGCAATCTCTCATTTTTTATTCTATTTTTTTATGGCTATTTATTCTTGAGAAAATAAAGCAATATTTTTCTCTTTAATTTGGCTGTTATGTACTAACTTATTGTCTTATATTCTATTTTTATCTTGATACATTGTTGCAAAACGTGATACGTTATATTGACATTTATCTTATTACGAACTTGGAAAGACCACAGCAGCAACAAGTCAAAGATAACCCCTACAAGGGATTTGCAATTAGAACTTAACCTCACCATGGTTGGTGATTGGTGAAGGTCATTTTGGAACAAAGGAGAGCTACCATCACAGGAATGAAAACAGGTCTTATAACCTAACAGGAAAGTAGAGGGAAATTGACAGTCAAATTTTCCCACATAACATTAAAATTCAAGATTTTACATCATTTCTAAAGAGCTTACACCTTTCCATGGACTGTAGTTAAGAGAGTTTTGTGTGTGTGTGTGTTTTTTCCACTTGAAAAAAGAACAACAGAGCTCAGAAACTGATCAGAATCATCATTTCATTAAAAAGAACTTATTCCAAGTAAATTCAGGTGTCCGGTAAAAGAATGCTGCGATGTCAATCAAATGGATGGGTCAAAAACCAGGGTTCTATACAGATATAGTATTGATTCAAGAATTCAGTCTCCAGTTGTGTGACTTACCCATCCAATAATTCCTATCTAAGAAGTAAAAGATAAGTTCCTATACCTCAAAGTTACAAAATGTAGGAGGACAAGACTCAAAAGTTTGTTTCTATCTACTTTGAGAATGTCCCACTGTAGCTTTGTAGCATGATCATCGCTGAAAAGAATTCTTATTATAGATTGCTGAAGTGGCTCAGGTTGCTGTGCACCAGTTTGTTCTTGCTATTCTTCCACCCAATTTGCAAAATGGAAGAAACTTGTAAGGCTATCTACATCAGTCTTCCAGTCCAGAGGGACTATCTCCTTCCATTTACCCAGTGCCGATTATGGTTCCCGGGTTTCAAATATGGGTTTTTGTAGCCAGACCCTTGCTTAGGGAGGTCATGCAATTCCATGACCTGGATCGTCCGCTTCCTCTTGGCTGTTAAACACAGAAAACACCATCAGAGTAGTTTTTGGTAGCTTGATGCAACCATAATTGAGTGGGAAATTTTAATTAAATTTTGGGGCAATATCAAAATTTGACATTAACTCAAACATAAAATAGTTCCTTGGCAACCTAGTACTTCATTAGCACTTTGAAAATATTAGGTTTAAAACAAATTTTGAATCATATAATAGACGATTCATACAGAATTTAGCAGGGAAAAGATATACCATTCTCAGCCTGTTGATATCGCTCTTGAAGCTTCCTTTTCGTGGCCTCAAGCTTTCGCTGGACGGCTAATTCATCTGAAGTCTTGAATTTCTGATTAAAAAAGAGCAGTGCTCAGAAAAAAGTTTGAAGGTGCATGTTCAAAGTACAAAGAGATCCTTCACTTACATCTTGTTGGCTGCTGAGTGGCTTCTTGGGGACAGCCATCTTATCTGATTTCTGCAGCAACTTTGATTCATTGTTGACCTTTTGCTCCATATTATATTTTGGAGGTCTCCCAGAGCCAATATTTGTGCTTGAGGGCTTGTTATTAGGCTTTGCAACAGGTTCTTGTCTCTTTATTTGTTGACTCTTGTCATCCTTGGTGCGCAGATTTGCTTCGCTTGAAGTCTGCTGTTTCTGTTTTGAAAATTTTTGGTTCTCCTGCGAAGGTTTTCTTCCGTTATCCCTGCTCTTGATGAATTCCCCACTGCTTCGAGGATCTGAAACAACATTCCCCGATCATAATCATGAATCTAAGAAGTGGGGAATTCAAATAGAGAGCCAAATGGAAAAAGCTCTGGGGAATTCAAATAGATAGCCAAATGGAAAAAGCTATCTAATAGAAACATTAGAGATGGCAAATTCAACTCACTTCCATCATCATCCATGCCGTCAAAAAACTTCACATAATGCAGCACCAGTGACAAGGGAAAAAAATTTCCAATCAGTCACAAGCATAATAACAAGAACAAATTCTTTTACAAATGAGCATGAAAAAGAAGAAATGAAAAAAGATAAAAAAAAAAGAGACCTGTGAGAGCTCCATTGATGTCGGTTGAGTAGCAAAGAAAGCTCCAATATCTAAAGGAGGAGATGGAAGCCCTTCTTCTTCTTCTTCTTCTTCTTCTTCTACTTCTTCTTCATCAACAACAGATGGATTCACAGATTCTGGAGTACCCTCTTCATTCACAAATTCACAAATAAATCAAAAACTGAAAAGAAGCAATGCCAATTTCCATTAATTATCAAATATGTAAACGAGGTTCTTACCAGCAATAGCCTTTGTAGCACTAACCCACTCATCCACCAATTCCTTCCACCCACTGCAACCCACAAAATTGGGTGAAAACGTGCATCTATAAATGTCTAGACAATATAAAATAATAGAATGTACTGCCACAACAAAAGCTATTAATATTCTTAGGTCAAAGAAGTAAACAACTCTAGCATCATCTAAGGCTTCAAAGATGTGTTCAGTAAGCCATCAATCATTTTTAAAAGGAATGCAGAGTTTTCCAATATCAGTATGCTTGTAGTACAACTGAAACCAGTCAAGAAGAGCACAACCATCTATCTATACAAATCATGCAGTTCAGTAATTACTATATTAACAGATTGAAGGGGCAAAACAACACATAATCAGCATTGTCGTACTAACAACTAAGAAGAAACTAAAGTAGGCTGTTCTTGGGGTAAAGTTGATCTTTGCAATAAAAAACTAACAACTATACTAATGGAAAATATGGAGTGAGCAAAAATCAATATATTCTAACAATTTCACACTTAACACCCGATCTATGATTGTCAATTATGAATCTGAGCTCATGGAATACATGCATTACAGAATCAAGTACTTTTGCTTCATAATCTGTAGAGACAGTCAATCTTGCAAAGCCCTTAAGGATATATAAAAGACAGGTAACAATACATACCTGTAAAGCTCAACAAGCACATGTTATTCATGTTCATCACACAACATAATCAAACATTCAATTTCAGTAAAGGCACAGGAAATAAACTCATACTCGATGAGAGTTTGAGCGAGATGACGAATCTCTTTTGATGAATGCTTTCTGACACGATTAACAGCCTTTCCAATCCCAGTTGTCTGAAAAGAAAAAACAAAACAAATTACCAATTCAAGCATTAATATGAGTAGAGTAACAAAATGGAAATTACCAACTCAAAAGAGTGGAAAAGTTTTCAATCAGAGGACCTTGAGGATATCCACGGTCAAAGCCATTAATTGAAGTCTCCTCAATGATTCAAACAATACAGAATCAGGCTGCAAGAAACATAAAAAAAAAAAACTGTCCCTCAAAAATTATCCTTGAAACAAATCCAAAAAAGCAATAAGTTGAAATCCTCCAAACAAACCTCATCTTGACTATTGTGAAGAATCTCTTTGATCCTGAACACTTCCCCAACAATCATAGACTCTTCTTCAATTTCATCAGTCAAAGCCTCAGCCTCTCCATAGCTATAATTACTAGCAATTTGATTCATCAAAGGATCATCTCTGCTACCATTAGCCTTGCTCTCTTTGCTACCACCTGCCTCGAAAAACTCACATCCATCTTCTTCATCAGTTTCTCTTTTAAAACTAGCCCGGCAGCCTTCACCGTTTTCATCTTCATATTCAGGGAGCACCAACTCGACACGGTCGCAACCAGAACAGCGAGTGAATTTACAAGTAAAGAGTTTCTCAGCAATCTGATCTCTACGTAATCTGAACTCTTTAGGACAATCCAAAGCTGCCACCGTAATTGCATGATCGATTACATCAAATATGTCTAAATTTGCTGTCCGGAAATAATCCCTCCACTGCTCTAATGCCGAACGTTTCATCGCCATCTTTTTTTTTCCCCTTATTTGCCAAAACAAAACCAAAAATTCAATCCAATTCAGATCAAAAGAATCGGATTCCAACAGAAATCGATATTTCTCATAGAGGATCAAAATCAAGGCCTCGAAACTATTAATTCAATATTGTTGGCTTTTCCTTTTTCTTTTTTTTTTTTGTGGGTGTTTTTAAAAGTTCTGGTATTCTGATGATGATGGGGAGGATTGAATGGATTACGTCAAAGATAGGACTTGAGGATACCAACAAAAAAAATCAAGATAGGCAGAAACAAAAGTTGGGTTGTTAGTGTTTTTCTCAGATTCCTGTTAAAAAAAATAACTTTCCTAGAAAATACCAAGAATTTTCTCGAGAAGGAAACTAAACTATAAAGGAAACTAGGAAAAACCCCTCTAAAAAAAAGATAAACAAAAAGAAAAAAATCACCAACTGCCAGACAGACAATAAAAAAACACCTGGGTTTTCTTTTTTTGATTTCCCAACTAATACTAGGTGCTGCAAACGAGCTGAGATTTTTGATTTCCTAAAACCACTGTCTCTCTGCCCTTCAAATTTTACAATATTCAATTTCGTACTGTTTGGTAAAAGTGGATATTTTTATTTTTATTTTTATTTAGATCTTGATTATACTTTACTTTTGGCTTTTGCCAATGTCAGACTCGATCGGTCAAAACATCTAGAGAGAGCAATTGAAAAAAAGGAAAATTTTTTGGATAGGAGTGAGATAGAGAGAGATTGTGTTTTCTATCTCACCCATTCGTCTTTCCTTTATTTGATAGATATGGAGAGAAAATAAAGAAATCAAAAGGTAAATAAATAACATAGTGGATATAAAAAAGAAAACAATAAAAGTTTATTTTTTTGGTTGAGCATTCGATCCATCTAATTTTAAAAATTAAATTAATTGTCTTGTTAAAAAATTATAAAAACTATCTATGAATTAGTTCAATCTATTTGATAAAATATCAAATTTTTTATAATTTCTTGCCATTAATTTTAAATAATAATTCTATAACAATTTTGATCAAATAAAGTCACACTACAATTTTACCATTAATGTAATATTTATAATTCTTAAAAGTATATCGATTTGATTATTAAATATTCTTTAAAATATTTTTGTAAAAAAATCAATTAAATTTTTATTAATTAAATTATATTCTTCAAACGATCATTATCAAAACCAAACGAATGGAAAGGACATCGGTGACTTTTAATCACCCTTGTCGGCAGCATGTGAATACGAGTATATCTACCTGTCTAGGTGGCAAAATACCCAATTTTGCTTGTATATATTGTACATTCTTTAACTAAAACTGTCAATTAACAATAACCAATAATAATATTCTATATCACACCAAATATAGTAATATCATTAGAATTTTATATAAATTTTTTATTATCCAATAAAAATAGTAATTTATATCATAGAAAAATTTTTAAGGTCTTTATTATTCATAATTTCTCCATTTATTATTGTTGTAAGAGAGGTTTTCTTTTTCTTTTTTTAAAGTTAGTTGAGTAATTGAGCATGACTCAGTTTTGAGTGAGTTACAGCTTTCTTTGGAAACGTGTCGTGTTCGGTAACAGTCTGGTTGGGTCATGGATATTAGGACATTATTAAGACCGCTGAGTCATCCCCTTTCTTTTGCTCAAAAACACGGCGACTTGTTCTTCAACACTCACATGGCCGTGACTAAACGGTTCCTGTAATATTTTACGCCACTTGAATTTTATGCAACATGTGGCAATTCACGTGTGGTAGCACCGAGCAGGAATAAAAAGGATGTCCCGTTTAGAAGTTAAAACGCCCTCTACCAAACGCCGAGCACCGATTAACGATGCGTTTAAGTAGTGTCGAAGAGGGGTGTTTTGGTAAAAGAGAATAAGCTTATCAGGTTTTTTTTTTTTTTTTTTAAGAAGCTTTTATTTGCATTCCTATTTTTTTATATATCAATTTTTTATTTAAAAAATATTTTATAAAAAATTACTTAATTAACTTTTGATAAATTATATTTTAATCTTTTCGTTTACTCATTTCTACTTCAATAGCATATTTTCAAATATATATATTCAATAACATATAAAACTTATCAAATATGTAAATTTGAAAACATACGAAACTTATTAAATATTTATATTCAATAACATATGAAATTTACTGTATATGTATATTTGGAGATATATGAAATTTATCGAATATGCATATCTGATAATATAAAATTAATTTTGGATATATATTTTCGAAAATATACAACATATACATAAAATAAAATTACAAAATTAGTATATTTTTAAAAATATAACCCAAATTTTAGGATTATTTGCTCATAAATAACTAAATAAACATGCCAATCATTAAATTTTGTTAAAATTTAACAGATATCTATTCAACATAAAAAAATAAATGTATTAGAAAAAATTATACGCATATAAATACAAGTATATAATTTATAAAGTCCTAATTGCTAAGCCTTTTTGTTTGTAAATATACACGTTGAAGATGGGTTAGAGGAGAGAAAAAGGGCAATTCTATAGATGTTGGAGATGGAGAACAGGTGAGTAGTGCTTCTAACGATGTTAGAGGTGGAGATCGAGCCAACGATGCTATAATTGATGCTGGAAGGAGGAAGCGGGAGAGGATGCTAGTGTAAATGCAGGCAGTGGAAGGTGAAGTATTAATGCTCGAGGGCGAATTAGTGGTGGTCGAGAAAGTGCAGTGCCAAATGGTCTCAAAGATAATGGTGGTCTGGAGTGTCGGATGGCTCCGAAAATGGTGAATGATTTATTAATGTAGGGGATTTAAAAGGCTAAGGTGATAGTCAAGGAGTTTTAAATTGATTGGCAACTGGTGTAGACTAACTAGTAAACTGAATCTAATATCCCAGATAATATGGACCATACATTCAAAAATGTTCCTCTCCATATGTCCACTATATGATCTAAGCCATTGACATAATATTATCAATAAGTGATAGTGCCATCGAGATGTGTTATAAAATTTTAACAAGATAATTACTATTGACAACATATAATTGATAATAATATTAGTAATAACAAATAAATTGATGACTTACAATTTTACTTCTAGGCTCTTTATCATTGGTAGAGAATGAAATTGGGATTTTTGTTTCGGATTATGAATCTGCCAATGTGAAATTGATGTATACCAAGCATTATAATCCAATAAACACTTTGATTGGTGTTTGTTATCATCTCTCTTGATCCTTTCTGAGTAGGACATACATATCCCATCTTTCCCAATAGTGGTCCAAAAAGTAATATGCAACTTGGTATATGATGGACGATGAATTTTGCTCGGTTCAAAAATGGGCCAGAAAGATTGGAGAAGTGGTTTGTACATAATTAAATTGTCACCTTCTCTAGATGATATGGCTCTATAATAGCCTTACACTTCATATATTGTAAAAAAGATATCTCAAATAATGGGTGTTATTATCGTTGTCCCACATAAGGCTCCTAACACACTTAAGATAGGAGTAAATCATCTAGTTGCTCCTATAATCGTTACAATGGATTGGTATATGCACAAGACTTCCACCATCGAACACAAGGTTGAACATCAAAATATTCCATGTTAGTTATTAGACCAGTGTATAAAGTGATCATAAATTCATGTCTATATCAAATACATGAAAAATCATTAATCACATGTTCATTTGCATTAAATAAAAGACATAATTAATACACAAAATCATATAACTATTCTTTTACACATATATGAAGAAATGTAATATAACCAGTAATTTGATTAACGTCAGCACTGCTCGTTATACCAAGCTTTTTATATAAGTATGTCAGATAAGTTGCACCCAAGTGTATTTATCGAAGGTATTGAGGTTGCTTAAAAGAGTTAAGTGCGTTACTGATACTTTATCCTCACTTTTGTTAATAAATAGCATACATCCTAAACAATGGAGTAAAAAACCCAAGTAGCACACTTTACGTATTGATCAAGAGTTGCATTTGCAATATCTTTAAATGTATCATGAACCACTGCAGCATGATTGATGGGCCATAACTAACTTTGGTCACATTGGTTGCCTCAGCCTCTAACACTTTAAGCAACCACACTAACATTTCATTTGCCTTATCAATTATCACACACTAAAATGATACTTTGCCCTTATAATGGCTATATGGAGAATTACGAATACAATGTGATGGTTATCTCATTTAATGATAAGTGAAAAATGTTCATCTTAGACTAACACCTTTCATAGAATGCTGATATTATCTTATTATCAGCTAAATGATAGGGCATAATATTAATGGCGCCAACCCAAATTGAACTATGTTGGCATGGATACGTTGTCATGAACCATTTAAAAGCTAGTGCTGTAACTTTGGACTATGGTTGATTGGTTTTAGCAAGTCTTGCTCCTATAACAACAACAAAAAATAAAAACTAGTTATTAACTTTACAAATATTAAGCAACAATAACAAAGTATAAACACAATCGTGATTGAATTTATTACTTAACCATTCCATATATTTATTATAATAGAAGACTTGAAACTATTAAAGATAAAAGTATCTATCAATTTTTAAAGAAAAAGCTTAGCTAGTTTATCAACATCATTTCCATCTCTATCATTACGCTGTTGGATGGGAATCACTTTCTTAAGAACAATATCATCCTTTAGGGATCTAACAATAGCTCATCTACATGTTTTTTGACTTGTCATCTCCTCTTCGAGATAGTTGGATGCCTCTGAATATTGGCTGCAACATATCCCTCACTTTTACCAATGCCACATCATTTCATTTGTGCCATATTTATTGTCACATAAAATAAAATAAATACTCAATCATTTTATTCAAACAAATTCAACAATTCAATAATTTTACATAGAATAATATATAGTTTAAGGCTTAGGATTTAGGATTTATAGTTTAGAGTTTAATGTTTGGGATTTAGACTTTAGTGTATAGGATTTAGGGTTTAGGGTTTAGTGTTTGGGATTAGGGATTTAGATTTAAGTTTAGTGTTTTAGGATTTGGAGTTTGGGTTTTAGTGTTTGGGATTAGGGATTTGGGTTTAAGTTTAGTGTTTTAGGTTTATAGTTTAAGGTTTAGGATTAAGTGTTTAGGGTTTGTGATTTGTGGTTTGTGGCTTGGGAATTGATAGGTTTCTAGATTTGTATTTTTGATAGTTTTTAAAAGTTTTCAAATTCGTATTTTTTAAAATTTTTACAAATTTTCTAAAATGCAAGTATGGAATATTTTTAGATTCTGAAAATGTAAATACAAAATTCACAATTTCACATCCAATAACTCATTTTAAAATTCAATTTATTCAAATTTAACCAAAATTTAATCTCTAATTAAAGCTAGATGACTTGGTTAATTTCAAAACTTAAATTTTTAGGATGATTTTTGGAGTAAGGGTTTAAGGGGTTAGATTGAACCGGAAATGGATATGGAAATGGGTATAAAAAGTGTTGGAGGAAATAAAAAATATGATTAGAGAGTGCAATGAGTGAAAAATGGTTTTTAAATTTTAAATTTAGGGTGTAAATAATAATTAGGTGTGAAGAGTAATTTTGAGATGTAAATAAAAGCTCTCTTCTTTTTGACTTAGAAGGAATGACGATTTTGATTTTGTGATTTGACTTTTGAATTCAAGGCTTAAAAACTTTTCCATATTCAGCTTTTCAAAAAAACTTCACAGAATACTTAAACAAACTTGCAATAAGAGTTTTTCATTATTTTTTTTTTACTTAAACATACATTTTTACTACTCAAATACTTT